TTTTTTTTTTTTTTTTTTGAGACGGAGTTTTGCTCTTATTACCCAGGCTGGAGTGCAATGGCACGATCTCGGCTCACCGCAACCTCCGCCTCCCGGGTTCAAGCAATTCTCCTGCCTCAGCCTCCCGAGTAGCTGGGACTACAGGCTGCACCACCATGCCCAGCTAATTTTTGTATTTTTAGTAGAGACGGGGTTTCACCATGTTGGCCAGGATGGTCTACAATCTCTTGACCTCGTGATCCACCCACCTAGGCCTCCCAAAGTGCTGGGATTATAGGCGTGAGCCACCGCGACCAGCCATTACTGAGATTTTAATTATTTCCTCCTTGCAACAAAACCTCAACCCAAACACACATATACACACTCTGTTATCTTCCCCCCCCCTTATACTGTAACTCGTTTCTTCATCTACAAGGAGCAGACTTGATAAGCTTTATAGTTCCAACTCTATTATGAATCCAAGAGGTCTTCCAGTTATGATATTTTAATATGAAGCCTATGCTTTCTGAATATAAAGATGTTTATATAATGAAAAATGTGGGGCAAGTGTCCTTAACTAAGCAACTTAGTGCTACTAGAGAATAGTGGTATCCTAAACCAGATTTCTAACATGAAAAATGAACGGTCTTCTGATGATTATAAACCAGGATCTTCAGAAACCTTGCCAGATGAAGTTAATGAAAACAGAGTATTAATAGCATTGAAAAAAACCTCTGAAATCCTTCAGGATATTGACTGTCTTCTATCAAACTCTAAAAAGTGAAAAATTGAATTATTACAATATATTATTAAAGTTTAAGGATGTTGTTTCAAGTGAGACTGGTATAAAATTACTAGTAAGTCAAGATATTGTACGTATTACCCCTGCACAATGATTGTATAAGAATTGACATTTAACTTTGGAGGCATTTTTATTTAACTTGTATATTTTAAAAATATGTATTTATATTTTATTAATAAAGAACTATTTTGAAGTTTTAAACTGTGTCACATTTAATTCTTATTTCAGATTTATAAGAAAGATATTTGTAAAGTTATAAAGTTGTTGCTGTTTTTATTTTGTGGAACATTCACTATTAATCTTCAGGGTTTTTTTCATTTTGTTTTTGTTATTTGAGACACGGTCTTGCTCTGTCACCTAGGCTGCAGTGCAGTGGTGCAATCATAGCTCAATGCAACCTTGAACTTGTCGGCTCAAGGGATCCTCCCACCTCAGCCTCCCAAGTAGCTGGAACCACAGATATGCACCACCACACCTAGTTTGTTGTTGTTGTTGTTGTTGTTTAATAATATTTTTTGTAGAGACAGGAATCTCCCTATCTTGCCCAGGCTGATCTTGAACTCCTGGCTTCAAGCTATCTTCCTGCCTCCATTTCCCAAAGTGCTAGGATTACAGGTGTGAGCCACTGCACCCAGGCTTTTTTTTTTTTTTTTTTTAATATGCAGAATTGTGCATTTGTTCACTTGCTATTTAGTCCCTTTACACCAAGTATTTTTCAATAGAGCTATGAGACAAGAACTAGATCTCAAAAACAAAAACGGAGAAAAAGCCATTTTGTAAACTAAAAAGCACTTCGGCAAAGACTATATCTAATCTGTGTCATGAACCACATACTTTTGAACACAGGAAAAGATTTATGCTGCAAAGAGTTTAAGAGAAATGAGCTTACCAAAAGTACTGCTTATTATAAAGTTGTCTATTAGGAAAGAACAAAACCACACATCTATAAAAATGTAAAGATTACACCAAAGACAACCAGAAAATGTTCTTTCTGATTCCTATAAAAGACCTGGCTCTTCAAATAAAAGGCAAGCAGTAACAGAGAAAACAAGGAGAAAAATGGAGAGAAAAGAGCGTAGATCAGGAGTGATGTCACTAAGTTAAAGGGACACAATGCCATTTTATATAGTTCCTCTGACACTGGATTCCATCACATTTCAATTCTCAAACAAGTGCCACTTCCTCATAAGGGCCTCCCTTAATAACTAACTAAAGTTAGCCTCTCCCAAGCCTAACACATCACCCTATTTACTTCCTTTATACTACTTACTACAATCTGTCTAGCTTGTTTCCTTGTAGTTTACACCCTACGGTAAAACTTGAGCTCCACAGTCATTCTGTAACCCACTGAGAGCACTCAGTTTGTGTTGTATAAATGAATCAGTAAGCTGGGCACAGTGGCTCACACCTGTAACCCCAACACTTTGAGAAGCCAAGGAGCGGGGGATCACTTGAGCCCAGGACTTCAACACCAGTCTGGGCAACATAGCGAAATACCTATCTCTACAAAAAACTTAAAAGTTACCTGCGAGATGGCATGTGACTGTGGTCCCAGCTACTCCAGAGGCTGAGGCCAGAGAATCCCTTGAGCCCAGGAGGTCAAGGCTGCAGTGAGCTATGATTGCGCCACTGAATTCCAGCCTAGATAACAGAGGGAGACCCTGTCTCAAAAGAAAAAAAAAAATAGAAAAAAGAAATGAATAAGCATCTCCAGGCAGTAGACTGACTATAGAGAAAAGAACTATTATTACATTGTTTGGGTTTGCATGAAGCCATCTATGTTGTTCCTCAACAGCTCCATAAGGCCTGTAAGACTTGTTCCACGCTGCCAAAAGGGTAATGCCAAATTATTGCTGCATTCAACTGAGAAAAATTGTGCTTAATATGGCTAAAAGCACTCAAAATCATAACTACATTTGCTGAGAGATATTTTTAATTCTCTTTAAGGTATGTGGGGGTTAAAATGTGTTTAATTTTCCCTGTCAGTTGAGTCTTTTACATTGGCTAAAAACCAAGAGTGTGACAAGAAGTGAGTTCTATGATTGAGAAACTCTGAAATTCAGGGGGTGGCCTAGGAGTTTGCCTTGAGATTGAAGCATTTTCTGTGGTCTTCTTCAACTGTGTAATTACGATGATCCCACCCCTTGATGCACTTGCTTTCCATCTGACACTTGATTTAAGAAACTGTAGGTAGAAAAGGGAAAGAAGAATGTCCCTCCTTGGGCCTCTTCTTTTGGGCCCATGATTCCTATAATCAAACGTCCAGCTGGTATCTCCTTGGTGCTGACAGCAGCCACCACTCTGAGGCAGGGACGGGACGGGACCTAGCCACAGTCCAGTAAACAAACTCTTGTGATCGCGATTTAGTTAGGGTCAAACTACCCTGTATGGAGTTGCTTTTTCGACTCCTGAGGATTTAGTCGTCATGATTATGTGTTCTAGTTATGCTACTTGGGTCCACAAACAGTAGCTCCACAACATCCGCCCTCATCGTGGCAAAGAATTATCAAGAAATCCCCAAGGGGGCGATGAAGTGCTACCGAGGAGCGGCGGGTCTGCGAGGTCTCGCGGTCCCTCAGTTTGGTGAAAAGCTCCGTTGCGCACCTTAAGGGATTCACGGAAGGACGTTAGCAGTATCGCTGGACCTTCGAGACCCGACGGCCGAGCCTCCTAGCTCAAGCGTCTCGCAGTAAAGCCTGTGCGCCTGGCATTCGGGAGGACACTTCTCTGTCCCCACGTGGGGAAGTCGGAAACGTTTGTGGCACGGCTCCGGCCAAAATAAGAAACGAATCCTAAGGTCTGACAAAAGGAAACTAACAAGGCACTTCTCTCCTCTCACCCAGACGACCCAAAAGTTTCTTTTTGGGGGTCGGAGTCTAGGGTGGGCGAGGAGAAACTCGGGGTATCTACCCACTGCACCAAACAGCACTCGTGTGGCTTCCTTTCGGTTTGGAGCTGCCCAGTATCCCGGCATCCTCTCGGCCGACGCTCGGGTCTGAAGCCGCTCTGGCCGGCAGCCGACATCTCTATGGTGCCGACCAAGGGGCGGAGGACAGGGGCGGGGCTGCTGCTGGAGCTGCTGCTTGTTTGAACTCTGAGAGCCCGGGGTGGGTACGGCTGAGCCTCCGCGAGGGACTGGGTGGGCGGGGGAGGGGGCGGGGTGGGCGCCGCAGCACTGCGTGCTGAGGTGGGAGACCGCAGACGCGGACCATCGGAGTCTGATGTCTGGAGGGTCTGGTTGCGGGTGGGAGGGCATGCTGGAACGTCAGGCACGCGGGAGCCAGGAGCCTGCTGGGTGCGTGTGACCCACGAGCTGACACTGTCCCGCGGCCCTAGGGTCTGCGAGGAGTCCTGGCGCCGCCCTCCGACTTCGCCCTGTTTCTAGATCCCCCTAGACCCCAGCCCTCCGCCTAGGCTCCGCGCCCCTAGCCTTTTTCTGTCCAAGCGTAGGGTTCCGGGGGTCTTGAAGGAGGAGCCCATTGCTATCCTTAACCGGTGTAAGAGCTCTTCGCTTCCCGGAGCTCTTGAGGCTTGAATGCTGAAAGTGTGACATGGTCCCTTCCCTGCGGCTTGGTCCATTTTTTTAAATGACATTTTAAAAATTATTGCATCACAGTAGCCTCAGAAAAGGATGTGTGGGAACTTCCGAGGCTTCAAACATGTTGAAATTCAGAATTTTGTTTTATTCGTAATGGGCACAGGAATTAAACATTTTAAGTGCAGACATCTGATGGCTATAAAAAGCTTCAGCGAAAGTAAGCAAGATTTATGTTTCCTTTCTTTGTCAATTGCATCAGATTTGGCATCTGCTTTGATATTTTTCCATTAAAGAAATTAAATTATTAAGTTTCACAGCAACTACAGTGAAGAGGACTTACTGGTAAAGAATAATAAAGGCCGTTTCTGGAATTTGGACTAGTTTTGACCTTACGTTTTTGCATATAATTTGTAAGGTCGGTGGGGAGAGAGAAAGTTAAAACAAATGACATTTACTTAGAGAATTTATCAGCTATTTGTTTTGACAGAAATAATGCCTAAGAGATTATTAGCAAACAATACAAGATAACGTATAATTAAAGTGACCAGCTAATTATATGTTTGTGGAATTCAGGAAGGAGAAGGGTACTGCTATGTATACTCCGAAGGTCCCAAAGTTAGTGGCATTTGCTATAAGGCGGATGGAGTGTGACAAAGTTTGGCCATGGCAGAAAGTAGCTTCTACAAGTCATAGGAAGAAATTTATATGTCGATTATGTCAGAGAAGTCATCCCAAACAGTATCTTTAGTTCATAGGCTGAGGATTGATTATGTGCTTACCCCTTGTATTAGTAAAATGGAATATTTAATCCTTGAGCACATTGGATTTTATGCATGACAAGTTTAAAAGAAAATTATAATCACTACTCTTAAGAAATCTTCTCAAAGTGAATATGTAAAATAAACTTAAGGCTTATGAATTTAGGAGATTCAGGAATTCGTTTTATTTGTAGGAGGAGGAATAAGAAGTGGAAAAGGAAAGAAAAAGTTTAAGCAAAAAAATGAGTACACTTAGGTGTATTCTTCAGAGACAATGAGTAATACAGGAAGAACACTTAGTAAATTTTTCTTTCTCTAATACTCAGAATCTAAGCCAGATGTTAAATATCTGCACCAGTAGTTGGAGTAGAATAGATGCCAGAAGTGTGGGTTCTGGAAGTGCAATTATACCGTTCTTAAAAATAGGAATAGTACTGTTCTCGGAATCTACTGCATAACAAATAACACCAAAACTTAGAGGCATAAAATAGTGAACAATAATTTCATTCTTTCTGTGTGGTCAAGACTTAGCTGGGTAGTTCTGGCCCAGGGTCTCATGAAGTTGCAGTCAGCATGTCGGCAGTGGCTGTGGGCATCTGAAGGCTTGACTGGGGCTGAAAGATGTTTTCAAGTTCACTATGAGCTTTTCCTTCCTCTTTGATCAAACAAGCTGTTTTGTACTTTCCAATGATAAAATGCATTCATATTATACCCATTATGTATAATATATGTGTTCCTATTCATAAACCATGATACAGTTATTTGTAAACAGTAAATTTTGCTTTTTGAGGTCGCTTTAAATTTGAATCGTCATGTAAGTTCAAATAATCTTTTGATTTTTTGCTTTGCTCATGACACTTTATTAGCCAACTAATCCTTTTAAAATCTGAACTTATCATGTAAAAT